TCTCTATTAAAACTTTGTTCGTTTATTTTTTTTTTTTTTTTCCAGAAGCAAAACACAGAAAAACGAGAGAGAGAGAATGAGCAGAGGAAGCGGGGCTGGATATGATCGGCATATCACCATATTCTCCCCTGAAGGCCGCCTCTTTCAAGTCGGTACGTACTGTGGTCAATCACTGTAACTGAAATTTCCTGTCTCCCTCTCTCCTTTTCTCACCATTAATTGAAATTGAAATTGAAAATGAAATTTCCGGTGCAGAGTATGCGTTCAAGGCAGTGAAGGCAGCTTCCACCACTTCCATTGGAGTTCGTGGCAGCGATTCTGTATGTGTTGTTACTCAAAAGAAGGTTCCGGTGAGTTAATCACTCTTTTTTCTGTTTCTTCTTTTTAATTCTATCAACTGCCTTGATCTAGGGTTTATATGTTTTTTTAATAATTTTTTTTTTGGAATGTGGGAGCAGGACAAGCTTTTGGATCAGACTAGTGTTACTCACCTTTTCCCTATTACCAAGTTCCTTGGATTACTGGCCACCGGCATGACTGGTCTGCTTCTTTGGCTTTTATCCTTTTCTTGTTAGCAAAAAAATTATAGCACAAGGTAATTGATATATCTTGATATTTTTTCTGTAGCTGATGCTAGGAATTTAGTTCAACAAGCAAGGAATGAAGCGGCGGAGTTTAGGTTTAGATATGGGTATGAAATGCCTGTGGATGCATTAGCCAGATGGTATGTTTGTGATTTTCATCATAATTTACATTAGAACATTCAGATGGATACGTTTGATTATGTTCGAGTTTTTCAATATGTGGGATGAATATTTTTCTGTATGGGTTATTAATAGCAAGTAGAGGTCTCATCTTAACTGTGTCTACCGTTAATTGTTAAAAAAAAAACGAATTTTAACTGCCTGTTCTCGAGTTTAAACTGATGATATCTTGTCTAACCTAGTTTGTTTTTCATCCTTGTAATCTTGAATTCTTCTAAATTATCTGTCGATAGTGGCATGGATCTTTTTTTTTGCTTTACTGCGACTATAGCCTTATATAAGCTAATGGTGATGTTTATGTTTTGTATATAGGATAGCAGACAAATCACAAGTTTATACACAGCATGCATATATGAGACCTCTTGGAGTAGGTAGGGGTTCTTGTTTTTATTTTTGCTGTTGTAGTTGTTAAGATTATTATTACATCTACATGCAGCACCTTCATATCACTTATCTTGGTGTGTGTCGTGGACATTTACACCTGCTAATTGCTGCTGCTGGTCATATTCTTTTTTATTTTGAAATCTTTACTGTATCTTTTCTGTGAAGTTGCTATGATTTTGGGTATTGATGAAGAGAACGGGCCTCAGCTTTACAAGTGTGATCCAGCTGGCCACTTTTATGGTCACAAGGTATTTGAAAAATTTGTTCTTTTCATCAAAATGCGTTACATTATCGATGCTTTATGAAGAATGTGCTGTTTGTCTATTGTGTAATGAGTGCACCTGTGAATCCTGTGATCATATAACCAACAAAACTTGAATAAGTTGAGGTAAATATTTCTCTGAAGACATGCTTAAGCTATGTCCTCAGAAGAGAATATCTGATAATTTGTTTATGATTTTGAATTTCACATGACAATGGCATTTGCCTTTTTTTGGTGATCTCCTGTGTTTTTCTAGTATTCCTAAAATCTGGCAACTATTGTTATTTGTTGTTTAGCTAGGCCAGTTAATTTGCATCTAGGGTGTGCTTACTAGATTTGGTAGCTGATGAACATTGTAGATATTAACATTCAGGAAGCTACCTGGTTCTATGATATAGCATATATGAGACCTCTTGGAGTAGGGAGGGGTTCTTGTTTTTATTTTTTCCGTTGTAGTTGTGTGTAGATCTACACACAGCACCTTCATATCACGTATCTCGGTGTGTTGTGGACATTTACACCTGCTAATTGCTGCTGGTGGTCTTATTCTTTTTTATTTTGAAATCTTTACTGTATCTTTTCTGTGAAGTTGCTATGATTTTGGGTATTGACGAAGAGAACGGGCCTCAGCTTTACAAGTGTGATCCAGCTGGCCACTTTTATGGTCACAAGGTATTTGAAAAATTTGTTCTTTTCATCAAAATGCGTTACATTATCAATGCTTTATGCAGAATGTGCTGTTTGTCTATTGTGTAATGAGTGCACTTGTGAATCCTGTGATCATGTAACCAACAAAACTTGAATAATTCGAGGTAAATATTTCTCTGAAGACATGCTTAAGCTATGTCCTCAGAAGAGAATATCTGATAATTTGTGTATGATTTTGAATTTCACATGACAATGGCATTTGCCTTTTTTGGTGATCTCCTGTGTTTTTCTAGTATTCCTAAAATCTGGCAACTATTGTTATTTGTTGTTTAGCCAGTTAATTTGCATCTAGGGTGTGTTTACTGGATTTGTTAGGTGATGAACATTGTAGATATTAACATTCAGGAAGCTACCTGGTTCTATGATATGATAACTTAATCATGTATGATGCAACTCTGGAATTATTGATCACGTGTTGGTGGTTTATTTTAAATTTGCATTCTACATAATTCTAAGGGAGCATTTTGCTTGAGGAACTAAATTTATACTTATGTTGGAGGCTACAAGTGCTGGATTGAAAGAACAAGAGGCTATCAATTTCCTGGAAAAGAAAATGAAAAATGACCCTGCTCTCTCCTATGAGGAAACTGTGCAGGTACTTGTGTCTATTTCCTATTACTCGGAAGGGACTGTATTTATTTTGTTAACTTATTACCGTGGGCCTCTAATTGTTTTGCACAAGAGAAACATGCCCTGTGCTTGTCAACTATTAAGTTCTCTTACTTTCATTCTTCTCATTTTGGAGGATACTTTAGTATGCTTAGGATTTTTTGGGCCATAAAATATGCAGTTGCTATTAAGTACTTTTAATTTTGCCTCATAGAGTTAAAGAATCTCAGGGATGTTTATTGGAGTTTCCCATGGTTTTATTTTCAGAAATGGATTATTTGATTTCCAGGACTATGAAAGGATTCCGAGCATGATAGAAAATAATTGTGAGGATAGATATGATTGTTATTTTGTTTGATTATTTGACTAACTGGTGCAAAGCTGCTTTTAGATTATTTCTAATGGGTTTTCTGTTTGTTCCAGACATAACATTCTATATGAGCTCCTGATATAGCATATTGGTTTTACTGTGCAGACTGCTATTTCTGCTCTGCAATCTGTTCTTCAAGAGGATTTCAAGGCTACTGAGATAGAGGTTGGATGTCTCCCATCTGTACATTCTGCAGTTAGTGATACTAGACCACTAATATTAAACGACCAAAAACAAAAGGACACTGGTATTGAATATACTTTAAGGGCAGATATTAAAAAAAACAAGAAAGAAGGAAAGAAACTTCAGTGTAATTTGTCTTCTCTTACGCGTGTCCTGTGATTGAACTCTGGCATTTCCACTTCTGTTAGGGTGGCTATCCTTCTGTTAAGTTTCCACTAGAATTTGGAATATTTGCAGTGTCTGCTAAACATGCTTACCATTACAGCATGGGCATGAAAATGCTGTTTTAATGGATTTACATATAGAAATAAAATGGTTTCTCACGGTCAGTGTTTGATTTTCGGCAGGTGGGAGTTGTGAGAACAGGTGACCATGTTTTTAGAGTGCTGTCCACTGAGGAAATTGATGAGCATTTAACTGCTATCAGTGAACGTGATTGATCTATGGAGCAATCAGAGCCACTTGGGGGAATGGTCTTGCTATAATTTGAAGTTATGGAAACATTCTTACTTAATCATGGAATTTGATAGGAAAAGGAAGAGTTAGCAACATTGTTTTGAATTGTATTCCAAGATTCCTCCCCCAATTTGTTAAATTGCCAAATCATGTTTTTCCATTATTGACATTTCTGCAGTTTTCTGACTACTCATTTCTGCAGTTTTCTGACTGCTGTCTTCGATGAAATGATAAGGGGTCGGTTTAGGGAGAACGTTCTTAGTGATCCTAACTATTTGCATGTGTGTGTTTGGGATTTTACGAGCACCTCGACTGCTCTGTGTTTTGGATCTTTGAAAATTTCCCTGTAGATGTATAGTGAACCCATGCAGTTAGATGTTTTCATGCTGGGTCTGGTTGATATCTATATCTATGAAGCCAGCATACAATAACTCTCTAATAGTTATTCCGAGTCATCTGGAGCAGTAATTATCAGTGCTTATTTCAGGAGTTTACTTGTATCCATGTTCCATGCTTATTCTTCAACGTGAAAGTTCAAGTACTAGTTGGATTCAATATTGACACCTTTCCTTGGACTCCAAAGCTGCTGCTGTCACAGAAGGCGACACCTCTTTGCTGTCAGGATCATCCAACCTCCTGGTAATCTTTCCATCATCTACCCCATTTATTATGGTTGCTTTCTTGTACACAGCATTGACTAGGTTTACCAACTTTAAAAAGGATGCTACCAAGTGTCTGAATGGCAAATTTTAAAAATCATAAATTTGGCAATTCAAAGTTACATTAGGTTTTAATCATGAATGTGGCATCGGAACCCTAAAAATAATCACAACTACCCCACTCTTAAATCAACCTAACCTAAATCAACTAGTTGACCTGCAAGTCGGTGAACCAACCCAAACTATGATTTTTTTTGTACATATAAAAAGAACCAGTTCTAAAGTAAAACACAGTCATAACAAGCCACCATCAAGCTAAACTCTAGATTGACAGGTTGATACATGTTTTTCATCACATGCATGTCGTGAATAACCATGATCAAGAAAACAAGCTAAAATCCTAATACTGAAATGTAATCAGTGCTTGGTTACCGAGGCCCATGCACAATAATCTAAAGGCCCTTGCACAATAATCTAAAGGCCCTTGCACAATAATCTAAGTTGCGCATTTGAAAAGAACACAAAGGAACATGCATCTCCATAACTTGAAAGGATTAGTGGAATTACATTCTTGACGATAACAGCTTCCATAACAATTACTACATCAAAAAGGGATCATATGAGTTGAGATTTACACCTTCCCTCCAATTTATCTACAACCATCCCAAAATCCCATTATCTCTGTACAACCCCCCTCCCTGTCTTGCTCCTCCTTTGTTAGTTTTTCCTCTTCATTCTCTTGCAAAAGAGTCTCATGTTCATGGTAATCAAAAATCCACCTAAAGACGAGGAAGCACATCAGACACTATGCTTTTATTAAGTGAAATAAATATATGATTGAGAATACCACTAGAAAGGATAAGTTACTATTTTATCAAGTGATTCAAAAATCCACTCCAATTGCTGAAAGAACTTATAATTGAGAAAATGGCATGTTAACATACAGATTGCACATCAAAAATCAGTTACAAATATACTCAATCAGACAGTCCTAGATCCTTGTTCCGAATTCCAGTGTTGAAGGTAAGCATCCAAAAAGGATTGAAGGTAAGAAGTTATTAGTTCTTTTTATATAAAAAATAAAATAATAACCCCACCTCTGACGGTGCTTGCCAAGCAAGCTTTCCATCACCTTACCAGAAGCACAGCTTCCATGAGAACGAGACGCATTCTTTTTCAAAGAATTTGCGGTTTGGCAAGAAATATTCCTGGTATCTGCCTGTCTATACTCTTGGCCAATGTCAATCAGTGTGTCTGAGTTCTCATCATCACCAAATTCAAAAAGATGCAACATTTCTTCTCTGGAGATAGTCCTATATACTTGTTGTCTATCAACCACCCTTGCAGCAAGTCCCTCCTTTGTTACCTGATTAAATCATTCTCTTCATTAAAATTGCAAGCATCTGCGCTTCATTTTGATGATAAATTTGTATATGAACGATAGAGAATGATCTGCGACGAGAGGTTATATATGCTCCAAAACATTTTTATAATACTAAGCTAGTTTCATTTTTAATCTATTTGACAGAAGTCATTGTCATGTATATCCCAATGTTTAGTGCCGTGATGAATGATGCATATCATCTTTCATTGATTTTGGTCACGAATTCTACAGCCTAATTACTTCCAGTCCTGATCCTTTTGAGTAGGGCATGCAGCTAGTCATTCTTCGTTTACCTCAGGTACAAGTTTCCACTTTCCACTGCCTCCGTTTCCTTGTTTCCCCCTCGTGTTCATGCTACCATTAGTAGATTCATCTTTCACGGTGCAGGCAAGCTGATTTAGAAAATCCCAGATATAGCACTGTTGATCAGGACCAGTATTGAGCTTCCGCTTAGCCTAGCTTCGTGTTCATGTTGAGCTGTGCCCAGCTTGCTTGGTCCGGTGTGTTGGTGGGAGAAACCACTTGTGGTGGCTTTGAAACACTCGGAGGGGATAAAACACACTCTTTTATTTTAAGAACAACAAGCTTACAATAATGAAAAG